TGATAGGACAGATATGGCTGTTTTCTTGCCCCACATGAACAACCAGGTACAGAACAAAAACAACTGCGCCGAGACTGAGCCATTTTCTTAGACTTTTATGCTAATGCTATAGCCACTGGAAGTTGTCAAACCCCACATCCGCTTTAAAACCCGGAAGTGTGAAAAAGGTCTATTGGTGAACAACCACTATGAGCCTGATTTTAGATTAGAGGACCATGATATGCATGTTTAGCTTTGGGGAGATGGGAGATCAGGAGCCAAGTCATCTGTCATGCATTTGTTATACCCAGCCACTGAAGCAGGGGACTCTGCAGATCAGACCGGCCTATTGGTTTTTCTCCAGCAGGGGCTGCTCAGTGGAGCAGTGGGTTGCACTGATGCCTTGCAGCACGAAGGTCCCAGGATTGATTCTGGGCAGGCTAGGGCTGATAATCTGTGATACAGGGTATTTGCCCAGTAGGCCGGTCATAATTTCAGCGTGCAAGAATTTCATACCAGCCCCAACACTTACTCTCGGGGCGAAGCTCCTACCTGTGACCATAAATAACTCCAGGAGCTCAAGAAGTAATACAATGTTAACTACATAAATGATGCATGCAGTATATATAGCCCTTGCTTTACATGCACATCCTTGGGACGGTTGGCATATGAAGTAATTTTCTATTTCTTCAAAGTGTAAAATCATTGCAACAATCTAAATTATAATAAAATTAAAATGCTTCTTTAAACCAAACTACGATGTTCCTCTTTTATTTGACAAATTTTATCTTGAATATTTAGCAAAAATATGTTGCCAGGGCCGAAAATCGTTCCCAGTCTGAGCCTGATTCCCAGCCCGGGGTCTTTCTGCATGCAGTTTACGTGTTCTCTCTGTGCATGCATAGGTTCTCTCCGGGTACTCCGGCTTCCTCCCACAGTCCAAAGACATGACTGTTAATTGGCTTCCCTAAATTCTCTTTAGGTGTGAGTGCGAATGGTTGTTTGTCTCTGTGTTGCCCTGCGATGGTCTGTCGACCTGTCCAAGTTTGACCTCGCCTCTTGCCCATAGACAGCTGGCATCAGCACCCCTCGCAACCCCCGCTTGGGATAAGTGTGACAGCAAATGGAGTGATCGATAGATGGGTGGATGTTTCTCCAGCAGCTCAGTTGGAGCAGGACATGTAGGTGGCGCCATGGTAACCTTTGGCTCATGTGACGTTCTGCAGGTGATGCAGTTGAAGCTGCAGGTCGTGGCTCTGGTGGCTCAGAGAGGACAGTTCTCCAAGACGTCGGCCTCTGTGGTTCTGGAGGGCTTGGTGGATAAGATCGGAGACGTGAAGTGCGGCGGGAACGCCAAAACGGCTCTGACGGCGATCGGAGAGGCGTGCTCGCTGCCGTGGACCGCCGAGCAGGTGAACCTGGTTAATGAAGCGAAGGCTGGGGGTTCTGAACAAACGGTACTGACCCGGTTTGTCTGTGCTTCAGGTCGTCTCCTTGGCGTTTGCACAGAAGAACCCGAAAAACCAGGCGGAGACGCTGAACTGGCTCGCCAACGCCATGAAGGAGTTTGGATTCGCTGGGTATGAGATTACTGATGGTGGTGAAATCTGTAGATAAAGCAGACTTTTAGGAAGCATCAGGTTAAAGTGTGAAACCTACCCTTTAATGAGGGTTATTGGGGGGGGGGGGGAGAGTTCTGAAGCCATCAAACCATTTTCCTTCTGCTCTGCAGCATCAATGTGAAAGGATTCATCAACAATGTGAAGACCGCTCTGGGGGCGACCAACCCTGCGGTGCGGACGGCTGCCATCGCCCTGCTGGGGGTCATGTACCTGTACATGGGGCAGCCGCTGCGGATGTTCTTTGAAGACGAGAAGCCTGCTCTGCTCACGCAGATAAATGCCGAGTTTGAGAAGGTTCCAGCTTCTTTAGACCCGATCTTAATCCTGCTGATCACGCCCTGGTTTGCCTCCCGCTCCATCCCTCTAAATGCTTCTGTCCACCACAGATGCAGGGTCAGTCTCCTCCCGCTCCCATCAGATCGGTCAGGAAGGCTGCAGCCGAGGATGAAGGAGAGGAGGGTGCGGAGAACGAAGATGATGGAGGAGGAGCAGCACCGGACATTATGGACCTGCTGCCCAGGACTGATATCAGGTAACAAACTTCTGCATCTTCTCTGCATTGGATTAAGATTTATTGGACTGTTAATCAGTTATTAGATATATCAAACTGAATTAGCTTTTGAAAAACACCCAAATATTTTGAAATAAAAATAATTACAATTAAAAGGGGTGCCCAAACTTTTTTGTATGACTGTATCATGTAATATTTAACAAGTGGACATCTAAGGAAATATTTAGAAAATTTTAGAGAAGTGTATTTTTGTTTTTTGAGCAATCAACACATTCAGAGCATTGATACTTTAACTGCAGTCTGTAATTTAATGGGGAAGAAAAAGAACTAATTAAGATGAATTATAGTGTTTAGTAGATTAAATTATCCAATTTTTACATTTAAAATTTAAAACATTTTCTACAGTAATGCTAAGTATTAAGAAACTGAAATGATTATGGAAATGTGTGCTTTCTTTGCTCTCATTTTCCACACTATCACTCAGTTGCCTAGCAACATTGGTGCTGGGCACATTGTTTTAATGGTGGTCCCCCCCCCCCCCCTCAGTGGTTCTGGGTATAAACGATCTGTCTGTATTACATTAGAAAATGCAGAGGGGTAAAATGATCCGTTGGCTGTTCTGTTAAGTTTCTGCTTATTCTGAAAGGTTAAAGAGTTTGCAAATATCTATAGAAATGGTATAAAGAGTTTTGATTGTAGTTGGAGTCTGATGATTCAGTCTGCATCCTTTTTTATCTATGTGCCAATTTCTTTGTATAGTGAGAAGATCACATCCGACCTGGTTTATAAAATTGGAGACAAGAACTGGAAGATCAGGAAGGAGGGTCTGGATGAGACTGCAGCCATCATCTCAGAGGCCAAATTCATCACTACCAACATCGGAGAGCTTCCTCTGGCCCTGAAAGGGCGGCTCGGCGACTCCAACAAGATCCTGGTGAGGAGTGGGGAGGTTTCTTAACTTTTGACAGTTTAGTTCTTTTTAACGCCTGCAGTGAAACAGTTTTTAATGCTGAACCTGTTGACCCTTGACCTGATGCCCATCCTTTTTTTGCTCTGCAGGTCCAACAGACCCTGACGATCCTGCAGCAGCTGGCCACAGCCATGGGCCCCGGGCTCAAGCAGCATGTCAAGGCGCTCGGGTTTTCTATCATCACGGTTCTGGGAGACAGCAAGGTCCTTATGCTCTGCTAGATATTTTGGTTCTTTCAGAGACCTGCAGGTAATACGGCTCTAACTGCGGTTCATCTGCAGGCGAACCTGAGGGCGGCTGCCATGGCAACCCTGCAGGCATGGGTGGAGCAGACTGGGATGAAGGACTGGCTGGAAGGAGAAGATCTGTCTGAGGAGCTGAAGAGGGAGAACCCCTTCCTGCGCCAAGAGGTGACGACTTCCTGCGTCCTTTTCATCTTCGTCAGTCGATGCAGATCAGCCTCTGAACTTTCTCTTCTTCTTCAGGTGCTCGCCTGGCTGGCAGAGAAGCTGCCCACTCTCAGGACGGTCCCCGGGGACCTGATGCTTTGTATCCCTCAGCTGTTCGTCTGCCTGGAGGACAGAAACGCCGATGTGAGGAAGAAGGCTCAGGACGCCTTGCCGACCTTCATGATGCATCTGGGCTACGAGAAGATGTTGAAAGCTACGGGGAAACTCAAAGTAAGGAGCCGTTAAGGAGTGCTGGTGATTCCAGTGTCTGAGTGCAGCTGGTTAATTTTAACCTGATGTTCTCCCCCGCAGCCTGCCTCTAAGGATCAGGTGGTAGCCATGTTGGAAAAGGCCAGAGCCGTGATGCCGGCCAAACCCGCAGCGCCGGCCAAGGCGGGCGGAGGGAAAGGCTCTGCTGAGCCGAGCAGAGCCCCTTCAGGTAAGCCCTGGGAGGTGATCCGAGGTGGACGAAAGAAAAACCGGAGATAACCCAGATGTTTGCCTCTGCAGCTTCCAGGTCTGCGGCGGCCAGCGAGGATGTCAACGACAGCAAACCTGAAGCCAAGAAGGTCAGAGGAGGAGGAGGAGCTGCTAAGAAGGTATGACTGTTAAACCACCTCAACATAAACATTTAGAAACATTTTCCTCTTTGGTTTTATAGAAGAAGGAGATCCAACTTATTTCTCCTAATGTTTAAATGTGGACCCGTCCCATCATCTGTTCTCCTCCATGAAGTTTGTGTGACGTCTTTTATTTTTACTCACCCAGCCTCCTTCTCCCTCTGAGGAAGCCCCCCCCTCCAAGGAAAAGGAGAGTAATGGTAGCAAAAAGCCCCCCGTCAAAGGGAAGGCTGCTGCTGGCAGCCAACAGGTAGATGACTGCTTGGCAGATGTTAACCTCTGTCCAGCTTCTTCAGTCACTAACAGCTGTGCTGCGCTGTTACACCTGATGACTGCTCTATAATATCACTGTTCTTCTGCTCCCTCTGTTAACCTGCACGGGAATCTCTCCATCTTAGTCCGACTAGTAGCTGCTGTTTGTTCTTCTGCTCTGACCAGTTCTCACTAAAACCACCTTTAGAAAACTCTGCTTCCATCGACCTCCAATCATCTTCACTCCGCTTACTTTACAGGGTCCAGCCGGGAAGAAGCTTGCTGCTAAAGTCCTAAAGGACGAAGAGGACAAGTCTGGGCCCATCTTCATTCTCATCCCCAATGCCAAGGAGCAGAGGATGAAGGAGGAGAAGCAGCTGAAGGTAGCAGACAGTGGAGTAGCTGGTTGTTCTAGTTTGTTTGATTTCTAAGGAGCAGCCCCTTATTTTTAATTTAGTTTGTTTTCTGTTGCTAACATTTAATTCAAAAATAGTGTATTGATCCTGAAGGGAAATGTTGTCGTTGCTCCAACCAGCTGCTCTAGATATTGATAGCAGGAACACCAGATCTGGACAAACCTCTTCCCTTACAGCAGGGCTATCACATTGGTTCCAGAGGCCATATGGCTGCCGGTTTTCTAACACACCAGACTGCAGCGTTCCCATCCCATGAATCCAGTCTAAACCTGATGATCTCATGGAGTCTGTGTTCCAAAAAAAAAAAAAAAAAAAGCAGCTTCCCGGAACCAGTTTCACACGCCTGCCTTAAAGCAACCCTGTGTAACCTTTGACCCCAGCGTTAGGCACAAGCCCATTTCTCCCTGAGCACACCCTGTTTAATATTTGCGGTTCTCATAGCTCATACAAGTTTACTGTGTCCACATACAGCGGGGACTATATAGTGGACGGATCACGTAACTCCTCCACTGTGCGGTTCCTGCACCATCTTTATTAGTCACTGCTGTCGGGTAGCGACAGCGGGCCGCTTTGACAGTAAATCCCATAATGCTTTGCAAGGACAGCTCTCAGCGCTAAGCATTCTGGGACATATCTACCTCTTCTGAGGCCTTTCTTTTCATACACTTTTTCTCTTACGACACTCTACCATTTTTATAGAACGGCGGTGAGAAAGGTGAGCTTCAATGACTCTCTGAACCCGTAGCTCAACACATACGCCTGAAAGTGCGCAGAAAAAGGTAGCTAACCAGGCAAGCACGTAGGACGGCCCTATGTAAACATATCACCAGAATGATTGACAATTAGGAGGACTTTCCTTCCCTCCCACCGCTGCCCTCGTTACCTCCTGTATGCTACAGGACACATGAGGCTGAAACTCGGACCGATCCAAAAAATGTCTTGCACGACTGGAGAATTCTTGTATAGAGAACTCGTACAGTGTATGCCCGCCTTAAAGGAATAGTACACCCAAAACATGATTAGCCTTCATTTTCTACTCACCCCCATGCTGAACAACACTCTGGAGTACTTTTTTGATATC